ATCACTAGAGGGATCCCCAGCAGGAGGAAGGAGGTCCTTATTCCTCTATATAGATCTTTATTATCACTAGAGGGATCCCCAGCAGGAGGAAGGAGGTCCTGATTCCACGATTTAGAACATGGAGTATGAGGACATGACCTCAATCTAGCAGGAGGAAAGTTCATAACTAACCTTAGAAAGCATTATGTTACAGAAAGAGTAGTTGTTGGTTGGGACAGACTTCCAGCAGATGTTGGGCGTTAGTCAACAGTAAATTAATGTAACACGCTTGGAACAGAGATCTATAAAAAGTTTAAAAATAAAAGAAGGGGGGCAGACTTGATGGTCCGTTTGGTCTTTTTCTGCCATCACTCTTCAATATTTCCATCACACACCGTAGCAGGCGTTCAAATTCATATTCTTGAAGTGTTTCGCTCTTCAAAAGGATGAATAATTATACAGAAGGAATCAATCAATTTCCTGTTCAAAAATTATTTGTTTCTAACTCTTGTAACTTGACTGCGGTATTCAGCAATTATTCTGTTTAAATGTTCAATACTAAAAAATGTACCAGAGAGCGCAAGAGCAGTTCCTGGAAACACAGTCGCCAGATGTGGCCTTCTGTAGGATTCCTCTAAAAATAAAAACATTATGTAAATTTTCTGGCGCGCAGTCCTCTCTTCTAGGACTCATCTCATGGGGAGATTTCATCAGGGGCTGCAGACTGCAAGGTCCCCCCTGCTCTTCAGTCATTGGCTGCTAGTACCGCTGTGACATTAGATCCCCCCCTTCACAGTGACATCAGATGTCCCCTCCTTCACAGTCCTTGATTGTTAGGACCACAGGAGTTCCTACCAACCAGTGACATCAGATGTCCCCTTCTTCACAGTCATTGGTTGCTAGGACGACGGGAGTTCCTACCAACCAGTGACATCACATGTCCCCTCCTTCACAGTCATAGGTTGCCAAGACCATCGGCATTCTTAGCAACCAGTGACATCAGATGTCCCCTTCTTCACAGTCATTGGTTGCTAGGACCACAGGCATTCCTACCAACCAGGGACATCAGATGTCCCCTACTTCACAGTCATTGGTTGCTGGGATCACCGGAGCTCTTACCAATGAGTGACATCAGATGTTCCCTACTTCACAGTCATTGGTTGCTGGGACCACCGGAGCTCTTACCAATAAGTGACATCAGATGTCCCCTCCTTCAGTCATTGATTGCTGGGAGCACCAATGAGTGACATCAGATGTTCCCTCCTTCACAGTCATTGGTTGCTAGGACTGCTGGCGTTCTGTTTGCATCCGGACTGAGGGCTCTGGAGACTGAAGGGATGGACGGAGGTCACATATAAGACACGTATCCCCTGTATGTGCTCAGCAAGATGCAATAAATATCAGCATCACCCAGCTACAGACTCCGCTGAATACTGAAATACACATGGGCACATTCAACCCCATCCCAACCCCCACACACATACTCCATTGTTCCACGCTAAAGAGTGTTTCTCGCTCCCCCCTGTAATGTAAATGAGAGAATCCGGGACAAAGAATTACTTTTAAATCCTATTCAGGGTTTACACAATGACGTGCCAAAAAAAAAGTCAAACGGAAAAAAACCCCAAAGAAGTGGAGCTCCTCGGAACTGTGAGGGTCAAGTGCTCAATCCTTGTCTAGGGCGCCATTAAAAAGCAGTTTTGCTTATTTTCTCCCTCTCAGCCGCAGGATTTCCCCCTAAATGTAGCTGGTGCCCCAAAGCCGCTTCTCTATGGCGCCCCACATGGCGGTCCCACTCTGACGTCATGAGGTACAATGCAGGACCAGCACTCAGATCTGGTGGCAACTCACAATTTTGCTTTGCACATCACTTTCCTTCCCGGTGACATCGATGATCAGGACAACTAAAGAGGGAGAATCTCCAGGAGACAAACTGCAATAAAAATCCGACAGAGGATCTATCCCACTCACCACTCCATCCCAATATTATAAAAATTGCATTTACTATAATTTAAAAGTTCTTCCAAAATAGTCAAAAACTAAGTAAAACCAGATACTAGCCTGTAAAGCTAGCAGTGACATAATCGCTGTGGGAGGAGCCCAGCAGGAACCACCCACTACAGGAGGGGGCGGAGACAAGACCAGTCACCCTGCACAAGGAGAGAGAGAGCAGTGACTGCTCTTTATTACAGGAGGGGGGGGAGACAAGACCAGTCACCCTGCACAAGGAGAGAGAGAGCAGTGACTGCTCTTTATTACAGGAGGGGGTGGAGACAAGACCAGTCACCCTGCACAAGGAGAGAGAGAGCAGTGACTGCTCTTTATTACAGGAGGGGGCGGAGACAAGACCAGTCACCCTACACAAGGAGGGAGAGCAGCAGTGACTGCTCTATATTACAGGAGGGGCAGAGACAAGACCAGTCACCCTACACAAGGAGGGAGAGCAGCAGTGACTGCTCTATATTACAGGAGGGGCAGAGACAAGACCAGTCACCCTACACAAGGAGGGAGAGCAGCAGTGAACAGTCTTTATGACAGGAAGCTCCAAGTTCTGCACAGATCTGGAATACACAAAGCTCACCATACATGAGTCTTGTATGAGGACAGTGTCTGCTGATCCCGGAGTTCAGCTTTAAGTTTAGTGAACGTTTGACTTCTGCCGCCACTTTCTTCCAAGAGCAACATTAGAAAACAATCAACGTTCAGCTATGCAAACATCTCCGCTGCCACAGAGCAAGAAATTCAAACAATTTGTGGAAACAAAATATGCAGAAAACATTCTACTGCTGATGCAGAAAAGCAACAAAGTAGAAAAAAAATCGGGATCATCCCTTCACCTCCGATGACTGAAGATACAATGTGTGAGGATAGATCCTTCTAAAAGATCATCGTCACATCGGGATCATCCCTTCACCTCCGATGACTGAAGATACAATGTGAACACAGAAACACAGAAAGGAAACGTTCAGATCAGAACATGAAGCACGAGGTGAAGCTCGCAGCCACGAGGTGATGAAAATGAAGAACTTAATTAGTTTTCATCTACGAACATATCTACAAAGGGATACAAATCATGAGACGGAGCCAGAAGTGCTGCCGGGCGAATCCCTGTGCCAAACCATCAATGATTTTAGGGCTAGGAGCAAGAAATAAAAAATCCATCCGGAGTGATCCCTACACAGCTCATTACCACATAGTGTTTGATACCTCCGAAATCAGAGCAGAGATACGGGGGCCGCCATTGTGGATTTGTTTATATACATGTCAAGTTTTGGATTGAATACAAATCCTTCAAACCGAGGAGCTCACAATACAAAGTGCAGGACTTCCTGTCACATGTCCCTGTATCCAATCATGGAACATGCCGACCAATATACTACCATCCCCCCACACTGACCTACCCATGAGCGTCCCCTACAAGCCCCCACACCGACCTATCCCTGAGCATCCCGTACCAGCCCCCCCACCGACCTATCCCTGAGCATCCCGTACCAGCCCCCAAACTGACCTATCCCTGAGCGTCCCGTCACCTCACCACAACCACCCCCACACTGACCTACCCCTGAGCATCCCGTACCAGCCCCCACACTGACCTACCCCTGAGCATCCCGTACCAGCCCCCACACTGACCTACCCCTGAGCATCCCGTACCAGCCCCCACACTGACCTACCCCTGAGCTCCCCACACTGACCTATCCCTGAGCGTCTTTCCTTAGGTGATCATATAATTTACCCCTCCCCCTTTACTGTCCCATCGTCCACTCATAGTGAGGGGGGAGGAAGTGTACGAGAGCCGCAGCACCGGACATATTATCAGATCCGCTAATGAGAGAATCATACAAACAAAGATCATGTGATCGATGTATCCCCATCACAAGGGGTAACTGTCTGTGGCCGGAGCTCCACTTTAATACAACGGACACTCTGACAGAACGATCTAGAAGGAAGTATATGGGAGAAAACGCAGGATTCGTGAGCATCACCTCTCCCCTCGTCCAATCACAGAGCACCTTGTACCCACTGAGCCCTCATCCAATCACAGAGCACCTTGTACCCACTGAGCCCTCGTCCAATCACAGAGCACCTTGTACCCGCTGAGCCCTCATCCAATCACAGAGTACCTTGTACCCGCTGAGCCCTCGTCCAATCACAGAGCACCTTGTACCCGCTGAGCCCATGTCCAATCACAGAGCACCTTGTACCCGCTGAGCCCTCGTCCAATCACAGAGCACCTTCTACCCGCTGAGCAGTGCATAAGGACGAGTTCTGAATGGACGAGAGCGAGTGACCCGCCATGACGCTGGGGGCTCAGTGTAGTTCATGGACGCCGCACGCAGGACGCCATTTGCATGGCTCTGGGCGGAGTTCAGCTTTAAGGTCACCAATGGCGGCGGATTTCTCCAGGCAGAGGTCACATGACACGGTCCTGGATATGACGCAATCACAACCATTCCGCTATTATCACAACGAAGGTCCAGGAGCGTCATCACCTGACACGCTACATACACTGGGCACATGTACTCCCAGTGGGATAGCCATCTCTCTACACAGGTATGTGAGCAGCCAGTATGAATACAGAGTTCTGCACTCCATCTGTCTGTCAGGGGATTCCTGTCTCAGGTATGTGAGCAGCCAGTATGAATACAGGAGATGTGTACTCCAACTATCTGACAGAAGGAAGCCATCATCAGACGAGTACCATCCCTCCCTGTACACATGTGTGCCAGCTGCCAGTACGAATACAGAATTCTGTACTCGAGCTATGCGTCAGGAGGAAGCCATCATAAGACACAGGTCCCATCTCTCCTTGTACACCCAGGTATGAGAGAAGCTAGTATGAATACTGAGCTCTGCACGCCATCTGTCAGGGGGTATGCCTACTATGTACACACAGGTATGTGAGTAGCCAGTATGAATACAGAGCTCTGCACTCCATCTGCCTGTCAGGGGGATTCCTGTCTCAGGTATGTGAGCCGCCACTATGAATACAGAGCTCTGCACTCCATCTATTCACATCTCACCTGGCTCCGCTCCGGGGCCCCCGGTCGGTCCTCCACTTGTAGCGCGCGCCTCCTCGCCCCCTCCGGGCCCCGGCTCAGTCGGCCCACCTCACACGCACACACTCTGTACTGATATACGTTTTGGGGGTCAATTTATAACATAAAATCAGCATTTCAGTCCCAAGAAATGTTTCTGTTTTGGGGCCAAAAATGTCCGGAAAAAAAAAATCGATCAAAT